GAAGGAAAAAGAAATGGCGAAGGACAGCGCGCAGGAAGATTTAGCAATTTCTCTTGTCGTTGTAGAGATTGCAAATGTTTTTGAAAGCCAAGAGTCTTATAACGCGTTACTAATTCATGAGTTTTGCTGAGAATATCTACTCCTGTTCTGCAGGAACTTGAGTTATGCTGGTCCTACGCGAAAACATGCAGGACGTGAGAATTTGTGCCTGTATACAGAGTGGCAAAGAACTCATTTTGTCTGCAACACGATGCTAAAGACGGAAAATACAATTCGTCCGTAAAATTCATGTTATAAGATTTCAAATAACAGCGATTAAGAACACAGAAAGACAGAATTAATTACAGAAGTGGGAATGAAGCCAACACACACATACACAAGGACCAGATTTAGGCAATAATATCTCATGGATTCAAACGAGCCATTTCCTTAAACGCTTTAAACCTCAGAAGTCTTAGTGGTAGCTGTATGTTACCACCTACGTAAACAATAACACAAAGAATATTTATCCATTTAATGTTATTCTCAGTGGAAACAGACATTTCCATAAACAGCATTAGCCAGTTGATCTTTGTAATGGTTATGAGTTGTGTTTTCTTTGAGGTACGGACTGAATGTTTAAATATTATTTACGAGGCTCGTCCACAAAGTAAGTTTCCCTGGGGCCGTTTACAGAAACAAAACACAATTTCATGGAAATATTTATTGCAACAGATACAGCAAGTGTCCAGCTATTTTTCAACAGATTCGCCACCGGAATTGAGACATTTGTCATACCGTGGGACCAACTTTGGAATACCTGTGTCGTAGAAGTCTGCCGCCTGGGATTGGAACCACTGTGTGACAACCATCTCCGCCTCTCTGTCATTCTCAAAACGCTGACGCTGACCGGACAGGAATTTCTTGAGGTGTAGGAAAACCGTTAGTGCATGCGCCATGCTACGTCATTGCTCTATCACGTACGCACAGTCGCTTCGCTCAATATAAGGTTTGCTAGCTGTGGGACGAGTGGGAAACTTACTTTTGGGACGCGCCTCGTACATTAGTCAGATCAAAATTTTACAGTTTCTTTGGTAACAACTTATTTTTTGTGTCTAATATTTTACCAATTAATTTAAAGGCCTTAAAAATTTTGTGATATGAAATTACATTACTCACCTGGTCAGTCCTGAATCTCCAAAATATTGTCGAGTGCCTAAGAATATTGCCTTAATCTGGTTTCAAAACGTGGTTATGCCTTCAACTTGTGGTCCGTATCTGAACCGACGATTTCGTGTCTGATAAAACGCGCACCAGAAAATGTGTCTACTGCTTTGTAGCACACCTACGTTGGATTTGAACCCCTCTACAAGAAAGAAACATGTGTACCACAGATGTTTCTATTCAAAATTACTGACACGAACTGTTATCTGAGAACGTAGCACGCACAAGTGTGGTTCCTTTTGTTCTGTTCATCCTTTGTTCCGGCAAATTCGGCTTTTCGTTAAAACACTAACACTAACAAGCATCTTAATTAACCTCTTAAAGCATCACATCACCTTCCATGACTAAAGCAACGAGCAGTTACTTGGAACTCGTACCCTAAGACGACGTAATAAGAATATTGCAGTTGCTATGGAGCAATATCTTCGTCCAGAAGATAATATTCTATCAACTGTTCAATAAATTAAAGTTTCTCGGACGATTAATTATCCCATCTATCGTAAATAAGAAATTGCATTTGTTTACAACAAATGGGACTTTTCCCGCTGATAGTGTACAGCATTTCTTGAGAAATTATCATAATTTTGATTACATTGCGAAATAATCAATGGTCTATTGTAATTTTGTAGACTGTACACACAACCGAACGTCAGAAATTCATGAGACCTCTTGGAGGAGATGAGGCCGTAAGAGGGAGCCCGAATATGTGGCCCCACACCGAACACGTGACTGGAGGCATTTAAGACCCGCATTCACCACGTTCTATTCCCAGACTTTTTCCAGTGATGCTCTCTGATTTATAGTATTATCATCAGCTCATGAGAAATTTAAAACTTGCAGTTCCCTTCAGCTACACTTTGCTACCCCAAACGACCTTCCACAAGCGCCCTCTCTATCCATATGGTTATTTCTTTTCTATCTTAAAAAATATATGTCGCTGTAGCCATCAAAGGAAGCATATGTGGGATTTTGTTTCGGAAGGATTTTTCCAGCAAAAAGTCACATAAGAAAGGAGAAACTGAGAAAAAAGTATATCTTCTTCAATCTACGACACTGCACACACATCTTATATTTACCATGGGACTTTCTGTGGCTGATCAACTTGTCGAGTGACGACTAAGCGTACTTTGACGCCGAGATCCAACCCGTCGTATTCATTTCTATGTTTAAATTCATACAAATCATCAGACAATATTATGAAAGTTTAGTGGTTTATGATGACCTCCACAATTTATACTTTCCACCAGATATTATTAGTGTAAAAGATGGATGACAAAGTTTAGTGTCAAAACTGTATGGTAAGAGACCACTTGGAAGACCCTGTCGTAGATGGGAGGATGACATTAAAGGGCTGGATTTATCTGACTCAAGACTGGGTCTACCGGCGGGATTTTGTGAACACGGTAATGAACAGTCTGATTCAATAAAAGACAGGGAATTGTTTAACCATCTGATCGACTCTCAGCTTCTATCAATGAAGACTCTGCTCTATGGAGATGACCATAAAATCTGTATCATTTTAAAATGAATATTATCTGCAATAAAAATTTCTTCTAATGGATAATTTTAGCCTTTGAGAAGGAAAACAAATTTACTACACACTACGTACTGCTTTCGAAAGCGTAGTCACGATTTATTTAAAACAGCCCAGTCACAGAACGGTTGTTAAGCCAGAATCCGAATGTAGTCAAATGTTACTCGTAATGTTGTAAGATATTAATTAGGTCACAAACTATTACTCCAAAGCGCCACTTCTTAATTTGTACAAGTAATGGAATTCAAAATCGGGAACATCGCTGTCGTGTTTGGCTTAGTTCCTGGATGCCAGGATAAAACCGCGGCTACCTACTGGACAGGACGCTGTGTGGACCCTTCCCTTCCAGCAAACACTCCCCGACCAGAATGCTACAACACGACTGTGTTCTGGGTGCACTCACCGCCTTGAGAACTTCTAATCCCGCTCGGAAATAAACCCGTTCACGCCACACTCACTGGAAAGCTTCTACTAACTGCAGGCTGAACGAGGAACCCCGACTCGCTGCACTCAATAGTCGACACTTGTTCTTGCATGCATTCGGCGAGAGCACATTTGCCAACGCATTGACAGTCTGTCGGTTCCCTCACGCTCAAAACAGCGACTGGTAGAATGAAAGCCACAGTTTCTGAAGTCCTTCCCTATGGGAACAACCTTCTTGCGCG